TTAATATTCATCAAAGGGAAGTATAGACAAATAAAAAAGGAAAACACTTTGGTAGGAAAAAAGTAAGTTTAGGATTACTTACTTCTGCAAGGAAATTTACTTCTTACTGATTACAAAAACTCACTTTAAACTATCTTTAATACTTTTATTTTTTTCTACAAAAATAGAATAAAAGAAAATAAGGAATGGAAATCGCTATTGTTCTCCCATCCAAATGTTTCCTTGTCTTCCGTTTCCTCATCAGATAATTCTTGAAGAATGCGAGCAACATCAGCTGGTTGCACATATGTTTTTTGCTACGAAAACCGATATAGAATTTACAGCGTCAAATGTATAAAAATTAAAGTAATAGACGGCAATTAATAACACAGAATTACAAATCATTTGAGAAAAAAATATTTTCCGAACTTTCACCCACGACCACGCGAGTGCCGTAACTTATACGGAAAAGCTGCCATGTAGCACAAAAGCCCAGTTAAAAAAAGTAAAATGACTTCCTGTTGGTACATTCCATAATGTGGGGATGTGTAGTAAGGAGGAATAGAAATGACCTTCAAACGTCTCAGGTTCGATATGCGAAAAATATGCATTAAAAACAGAATTTGTTGTAAATTTTGCACATACGCACGTGCTGGAAGGTTAAACAGCAATGATACAAAAGCAACATAGGAAGTTTCAATTTTAATTCAAGATTTTAAATTTTAACGTAGGTTTATTATGGAGTTCTCAGAGTATTACCAATTGGTAATGGTCTGATGACTTCATAGTGGTCTGATGGGAAGGCAAAAATTAAGACGCTGTTTGAGGTGAGCGTGAATGCATTTACGAAACTACGAATATTATAATCAATCTAAATGCATTATTAGGTAATCGAAAGAACACACTAGCAAACGAAAAAAAAAACAAAAATGATCTAGTACACAGCCGCGCGTAGACTCTCAATGAGTTCGGGTGGTGTTTACTGAATTGTGTTAACCCGAATGGACTGTTAGTTTAAAAATGGAATTTGGCGGCGTCTCCCTCTAAATGTCTGAATCACTTTTCAGATTGTTGTCACAAAATATTACCGCCCTGTATTACTTTTAAAGAAATTAAATAATGGAAAATCTGTATGAATGTTTGCAGTATGTTTTTCGCATTGCGAAAAAACCTACGGTACGTAGGACCATCAAATATTGAATAACGTAAGACTTGGGCTCGAACATGTGCACCTAGAAACACGAATCTTGAATTTCGAATCTTATTTTCCGCATTTTGTTAAATGAATTAAAAAAAAAAAAAAAAAAAAAAAAACTTCAATAATTTGAAAGTGAGCAGTGGCAGCACTGTACGGATTAAAAAATTGTTATCTTCAGTGCGTAAGGATCTATATGGGATGTTCTAAAGATATCATGTTTTTAAATATTTTGTGAATTTGCTATTCAACTGAATTTTATGTGCCGTAAGTGCGAAGAACATGATATTTAATTGCTAAATTTAATACACAAAACGCTAATAATAATAAAATGTTGCTAAGAAAACTGTACATTGATATGTTAAACTGAAAAGACTGAAAATAGTTCCAGAATGCATGCTGCCACACGGTATCAGAATTTACAGAAACAAAAATTTAGATTGGTGGAAATTTTAGAATTTAGGAGAGGCACTGGGCAGTGAAACTTTAGAAGTACCAAATTTTTTAGAATATGAGGACATACCAGACAACAGAATTTAGGATGCGAAGACAGCAAAACGGATAGTGCTGGCCCCTCCCTCCCACACACACAACCACAGACTGAAAATAGTATACAAACACTTCAATGTTCATTGGGAATTCTAAATACATGCTGCTTTTAATTTTTTTGTAATTTTGCTGTTGAATTATATATGGCGGAATTGCGAAGAGATTGATGCTTAATAATAAAGCCAAAAGGGCAAAAAGAAATGGGTTACCAGGACTGAATGCTACAGCCGGCTGGTAGATTGCGAGCTCAGCGAAAGCGTAGACAAAACTTAACAAACCTATTTGGACAGCCGTTAAAATTTTTTAGTCACGATAGAGAGAAAAGCTGCATAGATGATGCCTGGAGAAAAAATCACAACTGGCTTGGTGGTTTAAACTTCATTTTTATTTTGAAAAGGAATAGTTCTTCAGAAATACATTTTTGCTAACACTAGGCCTAATAAATGTGCCCCACAATTTTGTATCTGTAGCTTACATTTTAAATAGCGAGAGGCGTGGCTATTCCAGGCATCAGTAGCATGTCATATTAAGCATCTGGAATAGTTTTTATAATATCGGTTCCTTTGTTTGAGTTCTGGACAACGACTGCGCAAAAGTTTGCAACAACGCAGAGAAATTGCATGGAAAGAGGGACGTCAATGACGCAATTTAGATGCTCTGAATAAGGAGGATGTTTTACGATTAAAATTAGGACTTATTGGAAATACTGCCAGTTTGCTCCAAATAGTATTAATTTGTTAATAAATTTTCGTCATATTTTTATATTTTCCATACATGCGTTGAAATTCAGTAAAACATGTTAAAAATATTGAAGTGTTTTAATGAACATTTTAAAGCTTACATTCTTTAAATTGCTTTTTCTAAGTTTGCATTTCTTTCAAAATATCCTTTTTTTTAATCCTAAATTTTCACAGATATGAAATAAATTATTTAATATGTTTATTGCCCATTTTTATTATTATATATACTTAATAGGAACAAGGATAGCTTATTCAAAATATTGGAAAGGAAACTATTGGAAAAGTAAATGTAACTGAAATCATATTTCTTTCGAAGTTTTTACATATAAATATGATTTTTATTATGTTTAATTTGTTAATTGCAAAACAAATTCGTTAACTGCAAAACTCTTAAAGATATGGGGAACATTCTAATAAACACGTGAAAACTGCGGAAGAAGAAAGATATTTTAATTGTTATAAGTTTCTTCAAAAATATAAATTAAAAGTAAAACCGGCAAAATGTTTTTCAACTTAAAATCATTTTGTCTAACAAAAACGTTTAATACGATTCCTAAAATATAGATGAAAATTCTTGAATTAAAAAATTATTCGAAAATTACCATGTCCCCTTAAACGACTAACTTGTGATTTCTGTTGTTTATGTAAAAATGTGTAGATAACTTTTTTATCAAATATTAATTGTTCTATTTTGCTACTTAATTATTCTATTTTTCTAATATTTGTAACTACAAAAATTTTAAACAAGAACATCCTTATGGATGCTTTCTTGGTATGCAATATATTGCAGCAGTGTGGATATCCACTAATTAGAGAATGCCAAGTTAAAATATATACTTTTAGATATTTAAGTTTAATAGTTATGCTCATAGTAGCTCTGAACCTCAAGTCTGTTCTATCACTAATATCCAAGTATTTTCTGTCAAGTATTAAATCGACATTCTTCCTCAACAAGTTCGCATTCGTAAACTATTCTCCTTTTTAACAGAAGGCTCGAGCAATCACTATTCAAAATAATATTCAAAGTCAGCATTGAAGATATCGGAACAATAACAATTTAAATATCCTAAAGCAGAACGAAGAAAATCATTCTAAATCGAGATCACAACTATCCGAAAGTATGGATATCATAAAGTCTCATTGATTTGAAATGGTTGCAGACGAAAACATCGCAGACGAAAATGTCGAGGAGAAAGCAACGCAAGGTGAAAACGGCGTGGTATGAAACATCGTGAGAGAAAACAAAGCAAAGAAAAAAATCTCACAGTTCTAAAACGTCGTGGTACAAAATATACCGTTGGTCGAAAATAAAGCGACTCAAAAACTTCGCAGTTTAAAAACATCGTCGTCGATAATATCGTGTTAAAAAATAAAGCACCTACACATCATTGCATGACAATAACATCGCACACATGCGTTTTTCAGGTTTTTAAAGTTGTAAATGCATTTTCGCATAATGATTTGGTAGCGCAAGAAGGAAAGAGGGTGAAAATGTTAACAACGCTTTAAGAATAAACGGAAACAAAGCAAGATATAATTTTAGTAAAATAATAACAGATTAACAAACGTGAAGGAAAATAATTTTGATAATTAAACATATAGAGGTAACCTGAAGCAGTTATTTATCTTGCTTTTTCTAAACCTTTTCCGACTGTATTTTTCAAGAAAAATTATATAACTAAAATGTTACAAAAATTAATAAACTTCGCAATTAACCATGTAAATATAAATTTAAGCACTGTAAATTAATTTTGTTTTCAATTTCCGTTTTTTAAATGCTTAAGTTTCCTTCTTACTTTTTCAGAAAATGTTATTAGTTCATTCAAAAATATGAAATATTGAAATAAAAATATCGCTGTTTCCTTTCCCAAATCATTTTGCGAAAATGCGCTTAACTTTTAAAACCTGAAAAACGCATATATGCGATGTTATCGTCATGCCATGATTTGTAGGTACTTTATTTTTTACCACGATATTTTGTACTACGATGTTTTAGAACTGAGATGTTTTGTCTTTGCTTTCTTTTCTCCCACGATGTTTTGCAATATGACGTTTTTGCCTTGCATTGTTTCTCTGCGACGTTTTCATCGGCGATGTTTTCGGTGGACACTATTTGAAATAGAACGGTTTATACGCATTAGGATACATATTCAAACTACTGCTAGATTTTTCTGCCAAATTTTGTTTGCAAATAAACTACCTTTATTTGCATAAATGGTGTTAGTTATGAAATCATACTGGAAAAAAAGAAAGAGCATTTCGAACATTTATAGAAATCTATACATGTAATGAAAGCTTCCTCAGATTAATCACCTTACCATCAAATTAAAAAGGAAACAATTATTTTTAAGAAGTAAAGTACAGAATTATAAAAAGCTGTCCAAGTTTCAGATTTAAATCTTTTGGCTTCAAAAATTTAAATGCTTATATTTGCAAACTTTAATCAAAACACATGTTATGAGTTACTTTAATATAGTAATCTTCGAGTAATAATACAATAATAATTTCAACATTAACTTGTTAAGAGAAGAACTTACCAATAACATTCAGTCTGACCAACTGCGTCAAGGTTCTCGATCGCTTAAACTCTGTACGACATTTATAGACACCATCATCCTCCGCGTGAACAGGGTTGAGATCAAGGGTTGGGGGTTGAGCCTTCAAATCAAAATTTGCCCTCACTCCGAGTTCCGTCGATGGAAAATGACGGGCGTTTTCTAACGTCCCTTTCCTAGCATCCAGGGTGTAGATGGGGGACTTGACTTCACCCTTGTACCACATAATGAGAGTCACTGAGTCTTCAGGTTCCGACAGGTTGCAAGGCAAGGAGGCTCGGGTGCCGACGACGGCCCATAGCTCCGGCATCGCTGCAACGAGAGATGGAGAGGATTGTTATTACGCAGCATGGCCTCCTTGCCGTGCAACATGTTTTTAATAAGAATCAAATATAAAATATGTATAAACATCTCAAAAGATTTTTAAAATTCGACACGAAAGCAACCTTAGGTTCGCTAGACGGCGCTAAGCTCCTTTTCTCGTTGCTCCATTCACTAGTTTCCATTCAAAATTGATGTCAGGTTTTCAAAATTTGTAAACATTTCTTTTTTTGGCTCCTGAAGAAGAGGGACCTATAAAATATTGCTCTCCAAATCAAAACGTTTTATTCTGAATCTAAGCCAATCTAAGGTTGCTTTTTTATTGAAATTTAAATTTCAATTAAATGTGTTTCTCTCTTTCTTTTCGTTAAATTTCAAAATAATAAACTAATTATTGTATTTGAGTTCCATTTTATATACGCAAACTATCACTATTCTTTAAGGCTAAATATAATCTTAAAAAGTAGGGAGGGGACATTTGAATTTTCGCACTTGCATTTTCTTCCGAATATTTTGAATCGTAACCAAAAAATACTGCCAAACGTTCAAATTCATAATTTTAGAAAGATTACTTTTGTTGATGTCCATTAGAAAGCTTTAATGAAAAAAACAAAATGCAATAAAATTAATGCAGTTTTAACAGACCGAAGTCCCTTGTATTCGTAGCGGCCTCGAGTACGACAATCGTAATTTCTGGATAAAATTTAAAAATTTTTGTTTAGTGCTTATTTGTGTTAATACTTTTGAGTATAATCTTATCCTCTCTCCAAATGTTTTGATTTAAAGATATATTGAAAATACGTAAAAATTTTAATTCTAAGTGATTATTTTTGTCGCGTTATTCTTAGATAAGAAACCTCAAGATCCAAGAATTTCAATTATGTGCTTAATTTATTCAATTTAATTTGTATATCCTTCATAAATATAGATGTTATTTTTAACACTCTTAGATGTGTTTTTCTTTAAATGCAAAAACCAGTTTTGCATGAATCAAAAACCATTAAGATTTTTCTTTCTTTCGTTTTTTTAAATTACTTTTGTCGTATGAAAAATTTGAGCGATTCAAGATATTAATAATTTCAGGACATTCTAGAATTTGCAAGCAAGAAAATTTTAAATTCGTCTTACGTCTAATAAAAACTTTGTTTCTCTACATAGGAAAGACTATTACTTGATTTATAGGTTTGGTATAACGTTTTTAAAGAAAATCAAATTTCATACAGAGTAAACAAAAAGGGAGAAAATAATGAAGTTTCTTGAAGCATAAAGATAGTGATGCACATCCTTAAGAAACATTCGAAAGAAAATTATTATATACCTGACACAAGTCTACTTCAGGTTAACAGTTAACAGTATTTATTATATTTCATTTAAATCTGTTTGAATCGACAATCAAATGATCTTCGTATGTTTGCCGGATACGGAATCAAACCGTTCAGTCATTCCGCAATGAATTATTATTACACAGGTATTTGAGTATTTATAATAAACGATAGTAACTACTTATAATGGAATGAGAAATTTACGTTCACACTATGCTTTAAAATATCACCAGATCTGATTCATTTGGACTTAGAGGGAAACATACTTAGACGGATCTTTTAAAACTTCTAAAGCGTTGCTTTTTATATGTTACGTTACCATTCATTCAAAAACACTTACCTTGGTAAGTGTTGTCAGTGGGACAAATGCTAATTTATCTTCATGCTGTCTTGTGCATAGTCAGCTCCCAGAAGGATGCCATTCAACAAAGCAAAATATTTTAAATTTATATTACGGATTGAATCAGTTTGTAGTTCCTTAATGAGCGATTTAAAAGCAACAAACGTAAGTTATAAAAATTATTTTAATATTCGTTTTACTTTTGATACAGTATCGAAGTGATGTATTTTAGGTACATTAAATTTATACTATACCTGAGGTGCCAATTTTTGGAAACTTTCTGGAATATGCATTTTAGAGTTCATGCTTAAATGATGCAGTTAACCTGAATGTATTTTTCTGTTGCCTTAAATACCTTTCATTTATATACAGGAAAAGTAAGCATTTTGAGAACTTTAAACAGTCTTATAATTAATAAATGATGTTCAGAATAACACACATTAAATACCTGGCACAAAATCGCACGGTATTTTTTCATAAGATACGCATTTTAATTTTCAGAAAAGAGCAGAAATATTTCCGTAGAGAATAATTCAGAATTAAACTAAGTATATCATTCAGAAGAAAATTAATAATTTATTACCCAACCGACTGAAAATAAAACCATCTATCTTTAAATTCTAAAAATATTTTAGATCATTAATTTTAATGTATCGTTTCTAAACTTATTGTTATGTTTGCATTCCAAACAAGTTTTCCATTACGGTAACATTCTTTGTCATTAGAATGGCTAATTAGATAGGAATTCAGTTCTGGTTTGTTTCATTTTTTTAGCAAATGAATGTAACATTCTGCTTAAGAGTTAACATCGATTAATAGGAAGAATTTTCTCTTTATCGCAGACCGTTCGATTTGCAGGGAAATGTTAAATACATGCAGCCGAAAAAAAATCATTGTTGATGTGATTAATCACTGGCTTCTTCTTACATGTTGATTTAATTCTGAAATTTTGTCTGCGTGATTTTATAGAGCGCTTTGAAGGTAAATCAATATATATATATATAATTATAAATGAATGTTTGTTTGCTCTTCTTTTAATAGAAATTTACACTTTAATTCCGACCTGTATGAAAATTTCTACTCGACCATGCAATCCAAAGAAAGGTCGTTTCCTATATAAAATTTCTCAAAAACCACTCCATGGCGTATATATATTACGCTAATTTAACGAACCTTTTATTAAAATCTCAGCAATTTAAAAGTTTTGCGTTACCACTCTGCAAAGCATAATATATATATATATATGTAATAGATTCTGTAGTAGAACGCAGGTGGTTATATCCACAATTAACAGCGAAACTTTTGACACCGTAGAACGCTGAAACGCCGATCCACAAGGGATAAGAAATTTGTAAGTCAAGGTATATTTAATTTAACTTTTGTTTCAGTAAATATGTTGTGGCCAAAATGAAGTTGGCACATTTATTGTGCGTATTCCAAAAAGCTTGCATTTTTGATAGATGTGCAGTAAAATAGAAGGAGCAGGCAGACACCAGTCCAATTAAGCCAAAGCGGTGAAAGCAAATGCGTTATGTTCAAAGTGAAATCTTAATTCAGACTGAGTTAGTTTTGGTTCTCAATGCATTTTGATTGGATGGTTAATATTGCTGTAAAATTACTATTGGCTGTTTCAGTTTTAGTTTCATTTACATCATCAGACTTGTGTAAGATTCATATGACAAATTATTTTTCTCGAAATGACGCAGGCCAAATAGAGTGTACTATTTTTAGAATCCAGAAGGGAATTAATTTTCTCTGCTAATTTAATCTTTTACGTAGTCTTTATTTTTCACATATATATATATGTTCCAAATTTAACCCTTTGTTGCATACAAATAATCTAGAGAAGTTAAAGGAAAATGTTTGTATTTTTTCCACTTAAAATAACCTTAGTAATAATAATAAAAAGGAATTTATTCAAATTTCGTTTTAAATAATTGCTACAGTTTGTTCACTACAGTGGACAGCATTCATATACGTACATGCATACAAATCTCTTCCCAACGATTTACAGTTATTGCATTTGAAATCATTTCCTGCCTTGTTTGCAGTGATCATTACCATCTTCTAAATGGTAACTCTGCAACTGACATGTACGTACAGATCCCCCAAAATACCTTCATTTCGTCGATTGTGATTGAAATTATTTTGCTACGATTTTGTAACCTGTACCTATTGGATTCAAATGTTCTAGAAATTCCTTGCGAAATATGAAACATTTTCAGGTGGTGTTTTGGCTTGATAAACAGCACATTTGGGTTTCAATTCACTCTTTTCGGTAGATCTTTATCTATACCCACTCCACAATTTTCTCAAACTTGTCATTTAAAATAAAATGTATAAAATTACTAATTATGGATAAAAAATGGAAGTATAAGAAAATGTAAGCAATATTATATAATGTTTACTATGAGAAACTGTACTAACTTGGAAACAGAAGTAGCAGCTATTTCCCAAATAGCGATGCTTTACTTAGTGATGCTATACAGCCATGATCGACAGTTGAAAGTTCTAATAATATACAATGAATAAACACAGGAATGGGATTTGTTAAGGCGTTTAGAGAAGAATAAACAAATTTAAACTTTTGTCTACTAGAGTGGACATGATGCAACAAAGGGTTAATAAGAAAACTTGGAGAAATTCGGGATTACCATTCGGGTCAAATTATATTAATTTGACTCGAATTTAATAAACAAACACGGCTATTTAAGGAAATGTTTTGTCAATGCCCAAAGTAAAATATCTTAAACTATGTTATCGTTCAGAAAAGCGTATTTTTTAAAATTCTTCTCTCATTAACACGACGCTTCAGCATGTCTGTTATTGCATCACTCGCATTTTCTTTGTTTTTTGAAAATGAATTTTGTAATAGTCATCACAAAGCATTACCTTTACTGTGAAATCAATTATTCTACTAAAACGAAAATCGAGTGCTCGAGCTTGAAAGAAACAGGCAACACGAGCTTCAGAAACAAACGAGCAACGGGAAGAAAGACTGGAAAACGTTCCAGCACGCAGTGCTTAAGCCCGTTCCTGTGAAAAAAAGAACAACGGCAATCAATGCTGGGAAACCTTCGATCAGGTACTGCTGAAGCTCTTTCGTCTGAAACAAACGAGCAACGGGGAGCATGACTGGAAAACGTTCGAGTACGCACTACTCGTTCCAGATGAACACTGCACGCTGATTTAAATCTCGGTGCATTCCATTTATGATTACTAATTATGGTTACAGTGTTTATTTAAGTAGCATTGCAACACAAGCCGGGTAACAGTAATAAAGTAAACAGGCAGATTAACAAACCTTTTAAAGAAAATAATTGCAAG